CCTACAGTTTCCCCATTTGACGTGAGTTTGACTAGTCCCAATAACATTTTTCCATTTCTTATTCTCCCTTACAAATATATGGGGAAATGGGCTTTCTTAGAAAGGTTGTAGTTTTATTACTGCAATAACAAGAGGATGGACAGGGAATGTGATGAAAAGTAAAAAGAATCTTGATTTTAAGTAATTACAAGTTACCCATCAGGTATACTATAGGATAAATGCCTTCTGGTATTTAATTAGAGCATTAAGGTTGCCTAGGTCTTCTCAAATGGTCCAGAGTACCTGTTAGTTTTCTTTCTTATAAATGCCATTTATTAAAGCTATAGATGATGTGGTTTAAATTTTATACTTTGTCAAATTTTTTGAGAATGACCACAAAAAAAAGTTCAAGACACTAGTTTATTAAGCAAAAGAGTAAGTAGTAAAATAGTTCTTACAGTGTGATATTCTGTGCTATCTCAGTACAATAACCCATTTATCAATATTATGTTAGAATTTCAAGGGATTTTTCAATGTTTATAAATATTTCTATAATATTTGAAAGTTTAGAAAAACCATAGATTTCTGTAATAGAAAGAAAAAAATTAAGCTATGTAAAAATTGAAGACTTGCCCTGGCCAGTGTGGCTCAGTTGGATGGGCATCATCCTGTGCACCAAAAGGTTGCTAGTTCCATTCCTGGTTAGAGCATATGCCCAGGTTGCGGGCTTGTGCAGAAGGCAGCCATTTGAATGATCGATGTTTCATTCACTCTGACATGATGTTTCTCTCTCCCTCCCTTCTCTCTCTAAAACAATCAATTAAAAAATATTTTAAAAAATTAAAGACTTTTTATTCATTTACATTTATAAAATAGACTTATAAATATTTAACATTTTAAATGTTTAAATATTTAAATTTAAATTACATACTACAAAAGTATATTTAGTATTTATAGATTTAGAATTCATGCATATTATATTATATATTTAAATTTTAAATATTTAAAATCTATTATAAAGCCATGAGATTTAGACTTTTAGTTTAGAAAATATCATTACCCTAGACAGAGGATTTGGAAAGTATAGGAAAATTACAGAAGCAAAAATAAACACTGGTCAAGTATCCCTAGTAGCTGTTTGATCTTCACCAGGTCACTTAACCTCCCTAAGCTTCAGCATTCCAATGAGTAAAGGGAAGATGGTAACGTTCCAACATCTCCTTTACAAAGTTATGGTACTGATACGGTGGACTTGAGTAACCGATAAATTTTATGTGAAAATGCTTTGTGAATTATACAGAAGTATCTAAACACAAGGACTGGCTTAGAGGAAAGTGTCTAAAGCTTTTAAATTTAAGGAGACGGATTAAAATAGTGAAAAACTGCCCTGGCCAGTGTGGCTCACTTGGTTGTGCATCAAAAGGTTGCCAGTTCAAGTCCCCCACATGCCCAGGTTGGGGGTCCCATCTCCAGAAGGGGGCCTGCAGGAGGCAGCTGATTGATGGTTCTCCCTAATGTTTCTCTTTCCCCCTTCCTCTCTCTATAAAATAAAAAAAAAAAAACAGTAGTGAAAAACTTATTTTATGTATACAGAGAAAAATAATCCTATACCATTAAGACCAAAGGAGCATGACACTTAAAAAGAAAATCTGTAGTAGCCCAGTCGATGTGGCTTGGAGGTTGAGTGTCAACCTATGAATCAGAAGGTCACAGGTTTTGGGCTCGATCCAAACAGTGGGGGGTGTGGGGGGGTGCAGGAGGCAGCCAATCGATGATTCTCTCTCATCATTGATGTTTTTATCTCTTTCTTGCTCTCTGAAATCATTTTTTTTAAATAAAAGAAGGAAACCACAACAAGGAAGCAGAAAAAAAGCCAACTGCAAAGAAGACATCCGCTAGGGCGGTTAGGTGGGAGGATTTGGAGAGGAAAAGGAAGGAGAGGAGCAAAGCACTGCTTTACCAGAAAATGTTTGTTTCCAAGAATCCCAACTCTGCTACTCTCTTACAGTGAGCTCTGGGCCAGAGGCTTTGCTCATGGTTTTCTCTTCTGTGAAATGGAATGTGGCTAATACTCCGTGGGGCTGTTCATTTAAAAAATAGACAGTGAAAAAAAAAATAGACAACCTGTGCCTAACAGTTTCCTGCAATGTCACAGGTTTTCAACACACTGTAGCTAGTAAGGTCATTTTAAGAACCATGAAACCCTTCTCTCTCAAGGAGACTCTGCTGGGGCTAAGCTTGAGTTATGTGGAGCAGTCAGGGTACGTGGCTGCTTCACACCACCCATCAACGTGGAGCTGAAAGGGGGTTTG